CTCCGACGTAGTTCAATTGGCATCTAAAAATACATTTCCTCAAAAGGTATTTAGAATCTGAAAAGAGCTTCACCGAGTGAGAAGTAGTTAGCAGCTCAGCAGAAAATTTAAGTTTCACTTTCAGTTTCACTCGTTCTGCCGAGAGCCTGCAGGAGACATGGGTGGGGTGTGTGGGGTGGGGAGGTGTGCTCCGTGATGAGGAAGCTCGGCTTAAAGACACGTCCCAGGGGCGTTCCTGGTCCCAAAAGGCGTTTCTGGTCCCCACCTGTCGTTTTGCTCCTCAGCATGGCTGCCTAAAAACGCTGCAGGATTTCTCAAACATGCATGAATGAGTCAGAGCAAGGCTTTGGGCATGTTTTTATGAGAGTATAACATTATAACATGGTAGAAAATTCAAAAATGATGATTTTACGCGATATTGCCCCTTTAAAGTCTTTGATACGGACGCTTCAGGCTGTCACCACGATCTGTCTCAACCATCTAGATGGGCTCCAAGTCAGCTTCTTGATCAGTCTAGAATTCCTTTCCCCTTGGTTTTGCCTGGTTCTTCCTTGCAGGCCATCTGTTTGTGCAGGGGTCGTCTCATGGTTGTGGGTTTGATTTGAGCTCTTGTTTAGGGTTTGCCATTGTGGTATGACTTGTTTTACTCTGGAGAAAGATTTCTTTTGATTTTACTCAGACTTAATTGGTAGCATCGGAGTCCTTTTCTGTTCATCAGTCCTTGTTGGCATTTATTTTCTTTGATTTGCTCGGTTAGTTATCAACACCAATTTGAAATGGTCCAACTTCAAAGAGCACAAAACATGCTTTTTAAAAGGCTTTAAAATATTCCCAGTTTCAATAATAGATGTTTAAATGTTCAAAAAGTGTACATGTGTTTGAAGCATTCACTTCAACTCTCGTCTCTTTAAGGTCCACTTCCTGAAAGTGGCCCAATTTGCACTGACTGGGTAGCAAACAGCTGGAAACATTTTCACTGAGATTTAGCCAGATATTTAGCAAGTGTGCCTTCATCTTAAGTTGTAGCATCTATACCTTCTGTGAAAAGTTGATCTTCTTTAAATCCATTGTACTTTAAGCCAACAAGAGAATATTATTCATTTCTGACAAAAAGTCAGATTTAGCAGAATCAGCTACATTGTGACAACAGAAACCTTGACCTACAAGGTTGGCTTGAGCTTTTGCAAATGATACAATGTAACCATTCCTGATGTTCCAGGCTGCTCAAGGGCAATGCTTTGTAGGGGAGAATACATCTTTTTGACAATAGACTTAACTGGTTTCTGTTTCTAATAAATTAATAATCATAAAACTTGAATGCAGTCGGTGGTGTGTTCCTAAACTTTACCTGCACAGGTCTGGAGTGAAGATAAAAATGCGTTCATCCCTGTTCAATAAGGGATGGAAAGCACTTCCATCTGATCCAATGATGCTGTTGCTTTCATTACTTGACCAGAAAGTCAGCTGTCTGCAAAACAACAAAATGTCAGAAAAGTAGTTTTTTTTTTACATCCTGGGATAAAGATAAATATGAATATATGTGCACTTTTTGTTTGCATAACAACAAAATGCTTAAAATTAATTTTTTCCCAACAAAGTCTTCAAAAACAACCATGCATAGATTTGTACAAAGTATTCTATGTTGAGAAAAACAAGTCAATTAGAAAACAAAATGTTTTAAAAATCTGCTAGAACTATATCAACATTGTTGTCATCTTTAATCATAAAAGAACTAAATTACAATCATGAAAGATGCTTTGATCAACAAACACACTTGAAAAAGTAATTTCCCAGAAGTATGAGAGCAATTAGGGCCATTAGGGCACCAGAGATGGGAGTTTTGGATTAGACTGGTCAGTAAAATGCTATTGCTAAGTATCAGGATGTCCTGCCATGCTGTGTGCCAAACTCAGCAGCCAAGACAAACACACAAACTGAATGGCACTGGTAGTCTTAAAGCTTCAGATCAGGTAAACTGTTTAATTCTCAGGTTATCCCTGGGTGTGAAGAAAGAGAAGAAGGGTTGTATTTGTTCAAGACTGCTTCAGCGCTAACCTTTGACCTTTCCAAGTTTCAACCCGTCCATAATCCAAGTAGTTCTGTTCTCCCGTGTGGAAGACAAATTCCCCATCATTGCTTCCGTTTTTCTAGGGTCAAACAAATGTTCAGCTCATTAGAATGTAATTCAAAAGCAATCAAATTTCCCCGCAAGAAAAAAAAGCAAATCCCTTCTGCATCTCATTATGGAAATAATAAAAACACCTTTTCATTTCCATTGTAAGCTGCTAAAAAGTCAGCTGAGATTTTATATTTTGTTAGACCTACACTTACCTTGTACATGAGGCCAAAGATCTTGTCCACTTCCTTATTACCAACAGCTATTCTGGCCAGCAGTGGATCTTCATAGCCCCAAAGTAATTCATCGACGGTGCGCGTAGTAAAAAGTTCACTTTTGGTAGCGCTTATATAGACGTTTGCCATTGAGGAACGGAAGAAACTGACTTTTGCCTTGTTCATCACAGCCTAGAGACATGAAGTGGAACAGATGTGAGCATTGTGGGAAAATACAGCAGGATAGTGATGAGCATTAACTCTTAACACTGTTCAGATGAACAAACTCTCCCCTTTACCCCACCTGGATTCCTACTTATTCCACACCTTTAATTCATGACTTACCCAAATAGGGATGTTGACAGTGGTGATGGCGTCGACGGTTGGGTCTCCCACAGACTTCTCTCTCAGGAAGACAAAGCTTTTTGTATTGTATGCAGACACCATTGTTCCATTTTTAATCATGGTTACATTGTCCTTGTACCTGTACTCCCTGTGCAAACACAATTTCAATATTCATTATTGTTGTTTCCAAGTTTTGCAAATGACCTTTGGTAACATTTGATTTTTAAAAAAAGGTATCATTTGCTCACATTAGTATCCATGTATGTTTCGTTCTTTGTTTTTTCTGTTCCAAAATCTGTTTCAAAACCTATTTTGTATAGTTTGGATTTTTTTTTCATGGTAAGATCAAACAGCTCTCAATAAGATGTGTCTACTCCCTCTAAATAAGAAAAACATTATCCATGGTAAGTGAAAACTTAATGCTCTGGGAGTCCAGGTCATGATCACAGTTCTTCCAGAAGGTCTGAAATGGTGAACCAACAAAATATAAAGCTCGACTTTGCTTTAAACATTACAACAAGAAAAAAAAACCCTTTTTTTCAAATTTAGCTTAAAAAAATAAAATAAAATAAAACTTCCATCCAAAAACACAAATTGTTTTGTTTTTGTTTTGAAACAGAAAAAAAGAATGAACTGTACATACATTCAAAGTTTTACGAATGACTCTACTGTAAATTCAACATCAAATTTTAGCTTAATGTCTGTAAAACTGAGTTACAGCCCTTTTTTAATCAGTTCATGCTGTATAGCCAGTAATTATTTTCTGTGAGTTTGTTAGGTAAATGGAATTTAAAATGATTTTTGCCAATTCATTCTCAGGTTTTTACTAATTTGCAGTTATTGGACATGACATGTGTGAAAGATAACCCAATTTAGGCGTGTTTGTTTAGTGTGTTTGTCTGTGTGTGCAGTTCGTTGGAGTCTGTGATTGTCTTTGCACAGTGTATGAATGTTGTCCTAGATTCACAGCTGTTTGCCTGTTGGTTGTCAAAGTTACAACTAGAAAGAGTAAAGAAAGGTGACAATGTTGTGCACTTAAACGTATGAATATTAAATATACAGGCTGGCATTTCTACAAAAAAATATAATGCAAAATGCAAAATGTCGTTCGACATTCATGAATCAAACAAAAACATCTTCCCTGCTAATCTGACTACCAGTTTTGTGCTTGTGACTGTTCTTACCTGTACGTGTACGGCCCAATCTGATCAAGTTGTGGTTTGGCCCCTTGGAGGAACTCGTCAACATTGGTCACATTGAAAAAGAAAAACTCCATGTAGACGGGAGGGGGAGGGGTCTTCCAGGACTCAAACACACGACTGCCCTCCACCAAAACAATCTCCTGTTGAAACAAAACAAATTGGTGAAGAACTGAGAAACTCTTTCATGTTCCCTTTTTCTCGTCTACGTCATTATGATCTTTATGAATCACAAGCGCAACTAATTTGGCACAAAATAAACCAATACTTGGTGTGAACGTAGCTCAGTGTGAAACAATAACAGATGCAAGATATCGCATTATGGGATGAAATTCTGCAAATTTGTACTTGTCAAATTTGACCAAAATGCCTATAACTTGGTCTTTTGTAAACGTGAGATTATCGTAGTTAAATCTCTGGCATGAAAGGCCATAAGGCTTCATACATTCTTTCAAGGAATGCTAAGCACTGAATTATTTGTATCAGTCACCAGACCAAGTGGGGTCTTGTAAAGTTAAGACATGGTTCGCATTTACTACAATACATTCCACTGTTTTTTGTACCACTGATTAGGGTTATAGCTAATGACACTGCTCCTGCATAAAGGACAGAACTTCCCCACGACACACATGCTTTGAGTTCAAAGTTTCCCCCAGAGAGATCCGAGTAAAAACAAACCCAAAAACATCCTTCTGAGGGGAGGAACTGCTGTGTGAGAGTCAGACAAGAGCACTGGCTGCATACATGAACGGTATAGGGTGAGGGGGTGGGGTCCCGCTCTTTGTAGGCTGTTGCCTGGGAGAGCGCCTCTGACAGACCATGTGATGCAAGGAGCTGGATGCCTGCTGTTCATGCAGCGCCCCGGCCTTAATGGTCTGAGCCACATTCCTCAGGATGGAGCGTTTGTGAGGCCCTGTAGGAGCAATGCTGACGACCACCCTTGCTGATTAAACACATGAAAGTTGAAGAAGCGGGAATCTTTTTAATTACATATAAAAAAAATACAAGAAATAAGAAAGATAAGAGGATTGGTATTCCTCCTAATGGCACATCAAGGGGAAAATCTCACTGTGGCCCAGTTGTGTCAAATGTGACATGAATGTTAACAGAAAAAAAAAATCGGTAAGAACAAGGAGGAGCTGGAAACAACAGAGCCGTTATTTTTGTGGAGCATAACCCCCAGCCCCCACACTCCCAGCCCCTCCTCCTTTGAGGTCCTCTTTACTTGTGCTCAGAGACAAAAGTTTAGTTGAGTAGCCAAGGACAATAAAGCCGTCACCTTAGATTGAGGAACAGAGAGCGTGGTCTTGCTACGTTGCCGGTTTCATACTCGGAACAATCCTGCTTTAACCCTCACAGCACGACACGTGGAATATATGGGAAACAGGAAGAAAATAGGCCTCTCATCTCAGGGCTACGCTTACACCACACCCCATCGACAAACATGCGTGGCAGGTGAATACACAAACACACGTAACATCAGGGCTTTGATGTGGAGACATTCACATCCATCCACAGAGGCTATTCAATAAATCCTCCCATTGAGCTTTACGTACTCCAAAAGGAGGCTTCACCTCTGTGGCGACACAAAACATCTAATTTAAATTGGGTGAATGAGAAGTAAACTGGAGATGTGTGTGTGTGTGTGTGGGGGGGGGGGGGGGATAATGAAAGCTCATTTTTGGTGGGCTGAATGCCTGATCAAGTGCACAACTTAAAAATGTAGTAGTTTTTTTAAGCAATGTTCTAGTTATTAATAGTTGTGATCTTATCAGTCAGGATGTTGCAAGCAGAGCATGAAGTAAGGAAGAAAAAAAAATCAAGAGCTGTCCACTGAGGAACTACTTACTAAGAGTTTTAATAAATTCCTTCTAGTTTTTATGAGATTTTATGCAGGAAGATGCACAAACATACACACACAAAAAAAAAAAAAAACATTCTCGCCCGTTTGCCTTTGGCATCAGGCAATAAAGAGCAACATCTACAAAGATCGTTCAATATAAATAGAGAAAGAAGCGTAGTACACTTAAAAAGTACTTCTCATCCTCAATATTGCAAGACTTGACTAAAATGTAACCCCTTCTTGTCATAATATATCACAAGTTCTGGGGGAGTAGCTTCTCAGGAATTATCTCCTCCGCTGCATTTGCACATCTGGAATGGGTTCAGCTCTGTGTGTGTGAAGGAACAGGCAGGAGGTGGGGACGTACAGCATAGTGAGGGTAACATTGCTCCAGATGATGCCTTCTTAAGAAAACAGGGCTTGAAAAGGACCTACAAACATCTCAGAGCGCGGCTGAAATACTGTTTTTATAAGAGCAAAACACTGAAAAAGAGTTCAAACTTCATTTTATATATTCAAATTATCTGGTGTATAATTTAAAACTAAATTAAATGCCAGGTGCTGGGCAATCATTTTAGGTCCCTCTCACTATAAATTGTACTTTTGATTTTAATGCCTATTGCCCGTCGCTTTCATGGGGTCAGTGTTTTAGACCAGTCTATGTTGAGAATTAAGTTAGAGCTGCCAAACTCATGCAGGTGATAACACCCAGCAGAATCCTAATCAGCGAGTCTATAAAGCTTTATTTTCTGTGTTCAGACACACATTGACAGAACTGAATACTTCTTTAAAAACAAACATGTAGCTTTTGCTGTTTAAATGATGTTAAACTATTTAATTCTGAAAAAAATTGTGTCATGTCCAAAATCCTCGCTTCAACTTGCTACATGACAACTGCTAGAAAGCAATAAATGCATTCTGTGATCCGTTTCAGCTCTAATGAAGGGGTTTAAATGTTTTTTTTTTTTTAAAACGTTGTAGTTTTACTGTTCATGAAATACAAGATGCATCATATTGTACTTGTTTAAACAGGAATAAAGTAACTACAGTAGCTATGTTTAATATGTCATTGAAACCTTCGCAGAAGTTTCACTTTCCTCTGAAAACAGTGCGTGCAGGAACACGCAGTTTGCCCCCTCGCTCTAATATTAATGAATAAAAACTGCTTCATCTTTAGTTTGACATTAGACCTGCTTTTTCCATCGCAGGTTCACACTTTCCATTACTTTTAGAAGTTAAAGTAATCATTTACACAGCTTTCTAATGCAATGTTTTTTTAAAAAATAGGCCAAAACTTTTTAACACCCCTGTAATATGTAATTAAAATTAATAGAAATATTTCAATTTTTGCATTGGCTAATCTTGATTAGCTGTGGCGGACAACTTGAAATTGGTTGCCTCCATAAGTTAGTGAAGTGTAGTTGAACACCCAGTGAAAACCTTTTGGGAGTTTGATTAAAATCTGCCCAATGATTTCTGAAATATTTTGCTAAAAGATGGTCAGGGTTGACAAAAACAAATACATGGCTTGGAGTCTCCAAGTGCTAACAAATGCCCAATTACCAATACTGCATGGAATTGAGCAGAATGTTGTTTTCAAATGTGGACCAAAGTGGTAATTATTCTGTTTTTTTTTTTTCAACACAAAAACGATCTTAGTCTAAAACTGGCATGAAAAGTGGGGGGTGATATGCATTCCTATAAGGAACGCTCGCCTTGGAAGGATTTATTTGACCAAATATGAGATTGGCATCTCCCAGTTAAATACTCCACCCCCCCACAAAAATAAAAGAAAAAAAAGTTTCCCCATTGGGAGATGGCCTAAAGACCTGCTGGATAATTTATATCTCACAGCTGGGCTAAGAATGCCTCCGAGTTTCTCAGCGCTCAGTATCTAAAGGGATAGTTCAGATGTTTTGAAGTGGGACTCTGTAGAAAGGTTATGTGTATTTATATATTACCTGCAGAAGATTAAGGTATACCAGGGTATCCAGCAGTATTGCTTTGAAATCCTGCTTTGGATGTAATTACAGCATTACATGAATGAGCCTAAACCATAGTTAGGCTGACTATGAAGGGACCATTTATTTAAGCCCTTCTACTGCTGTCTTTCCTGTGGCAACGTGGTATGATTTCACTGAAGCAACACCTACGGTTAAAAGAGTGGAACTGCAGGTAGCGTAATTGATTTAGATGTAAATTAAACACTGTCATGTCACTGCATGCTCAACCTGTTTCCATAGCCTGGTAAAATGACTATAAAAAGGTGTCTTTCAAGGCAAAACAACAAACTTATTTCAACATGTCACTGCTTTGACTACTCTTGCAACCGATAATGGAGCACCGGTCAAAGGATGAGGTGACGAGGATTGTAGCGTGAGGGACAAGCCGTGAGTTTTGTTGTTTATCAGCAATGTTAGAGAAGATGATGGAACAAGACAAACTCACCATCTTAGCTGTGAAACAACAACCAGGTAACGAGAGGCCGCCCCAGATTTGAGGTCTAGAAAACGGTAAGTTATGGCTTGCAAGGTGACATTAAGAACCCACAGGGGTGTCAAGACTCAGGTCTTCAAGGGCCACTATCCTGCATGTTTTCCTTATTTCTCTGCTCAAACACACCTGATCAGGGATTCAATTACCTCTTAAAATTCTGTAGAAGTCTGTTAGTCATTTATTCTAGCAAATCAGGTGTTTCTGAGCAGCAACAAGAAAACATGCTGGATAGTGACCCTTGAGGACCAGGGTTTGACACCTATTGTCTGTAATCATGGACTCCTTGCATGCAAGTAAAAGCGCTCAGGTGACTTCACCCCGCTGTGTGTCTGCCGTTCTTTATATTTGGAGGCAGTTTGATAAATAAATTATTTAACACAAGTACTGGTTGAAAGTTCAGTCAAACTGAACTGAACTTTTGTTGTGGCTGTAAAATGTTGGCCTCATGACCTTGTCTTGGAAAAAAGAAAGAGGAAACACTGACCAGACTGACACTGGAAGTGGAATAAAATCCTATTAAAGGTTGTAAAAGTGTTTAAAATCAAACAAAGTTTGACACCTTAATGTTTGCTTTGCCGTTTTTCCCCTGAAGCTGTAACTTTGTAAATTGTTTCCAGTAAAAAAAAAAAAAAAAACCTGATGTTGTAAAAGATCTGTGGGTGGGTTACACACTCCTTTTGCCAAAACTGTATCATGACTGTATGCTATGCTCCAGCTGTTTCAAGTTACAGCTAGTTGAATCAGTGTGAAGGATCCCCTTCCCATCAGCAGCGTCTCTTGTGCACAAAGCCTCTTTAATACTCA